CCGATTCCGGCCACGGCGGCCAATCTCTTTGAGACTAGCTATCTGTATAGGAGGTTTAAATGTAGGAGTATATTAACACAAGTGCACTCTCTATTCCTGTCATTCTCACACTCCGGTGGGACGACTACTTGACACGACCAATGAGTTAAGGCACAGGATCGACGGCTGTGCGTGCTCTCTGAACCACGGGAGTGAAACACCATCAATTTCCAAACTTCGGGCTGTTACTGAGAATTTCGTAACAGAAATCCGCCGATCGCCCAGTGATCGCCTTTTTTTTTTTTTTTTTTTTTTTTTTTTTTTTTTTTTTTTTTTTTTTTTTTTTTTTTTTTTTTTTTTTAACGTTGGGAAATGCATTTACGCACGACGTGTGGGACTCACCGGCGTAATACAGCCAGTACTACCCACTAAAACCCAACAAAACCTTCCCCCGTCTTAATGGGGCGTCGCAGGATCGCTTACGCATTCAACTACGACACCCCGACGGCAGGTCTGCCGAAGCAGACCACCACAACCATGGGGTTGCTCCACAGTCCACTCTGCTATCAGAGAAGTACCAGGAGCAACCCGCATGGTACACCGCCCTCCGAAGAGGGCCACCTCCCACCGCCCACCGAAGTGGGCAACCTCCCTGTGCGTTTCTTAGCTTCGCTACTGCTACTGAGCCCCCCCACCACGACAAGGTGAACGCACGTTGGGGGGGGGCCCAGTGATCGCCTAACCTAACCTAACCCAACCTGGGACTGAAAGCTGAAAAGCCAAGACCTGCAGATCTGCGATTGTACTTGCTAGCCACTTTACCATCGAGTCAGTTACAGTACAAAAATATGAAAATCGTCTTGATTCGTCATCAAAAGTCATAAAAAGTTGAGTTCAAAATTTAAACTTCATTAATATGGTATTTTATCCTTATTTAATTTACCTGTAGAATAATTATCATATACCTATCATGTTTTAAATCCGTGATTCGTTTATTCATCTCTATTTTGTTTACAAAAACCTAACTCTATATCGCTACATCAACTTTTCCTGTATTTGCAGATTTGTAGTCAGAGTGACCGTCAGACAGACTGACTGATAGGTACGTAAATTATTCTATACAGAACCCTTACATGTCAAAGTTTTATTAGTTTTTAGATACAGCAGCCTACAAACTAGAAACTCTCCTTACGCCATAACTAATATTTGTGCGTATGAACATAGAGAACTCGCGTGTTTAGATGTTAGATGAGAAAGTGTGTTTGTCTTTATTTTGTAATGCAACATAGCAAGGCCGATTTTTTACCATGATATGTAGAGCTAGTTATTATGAATATAGTAGATGATGTAGTGTATATGTAATAAATTAAACTAACAATCCTTGTATAAAATTTCGTATATTTAGGAAATGGCTATAACGTTCACACCAAATTTTGTATTTAGATAAGGTTTTATTTTTTAAGTTTATCTATATAGGTGTCTTTACTAAAAAACTTTTTTTATTACTAATTATTGATCCTTTTTATATCTGCTCTAAAGCTAACTTTCTGGTATAGCACCATCTTGCGAATATTTTTAGTACTTGCTCTGTCGTCAATGGATGATGAACTACTGAATGAGTGCGAAGAAAACAGCGAAGCTCGGTCTTCCAGGTTCAATTTATGTAATACTAGCGACGTACCCTCACTTCACTTGGGTGCATTTCTGAATGACTATCAGTGACTCTAGATGCCTATATGCTACTTTAGGACCTAGTTTATAGTAGACCTGGTTAATAAATTTTATTCAAATCCGTCCATCCGCTTTAGTATGGAAGACCAACAAACATACATACATGCAAACTTTGCATTTTTAATAGTGATTCAACAAGTGGAGCCCGTAGGTAAATATTATCTTGGAATAGACCTCTTACGATAGCTAAGAACCATTCAGGGGTGCAATACCATGTGCAAAATCAATCAAAAATCATTTCAATCTGTCAAGCCATTTAGGGGGTGAAGAAATATAAACACACATACATCCAAATTTTATATATAAAAATTTACTTTTTGATATTATATAGTATTAATTTGGATTTTTAACCTTTAAGTCAATGTCAATGTACCGAGCATGAGTAAAAATCACCTGCATTTTTTTTTATTTTTATTTACTCAGATCTACTATTGTTAGTTAATATAATATTTTTAAATATAAAACAAAACGCTTCTTTTAAGGTTCATACAGGATGCAGTAATAATATTTAGAAGCTAATAGAGTTATAATTTTCAAGTTTAACAAAAAACTGGCATCGTTAAATTTTTTGCCGAATATTAATTAAAACAAAATAAACATAATAAGATATTATTAAAACAATATTAAATTTTGTTTATATTTATTTGTTTGTTTTTGGATTTTCACTGTGAGCGAATAGAGCCTACAAAATATGTGACGATATCTAACCTCTGGGTAATTGTCAAGGAAAATCGATAAAGGTCTAAATAGTTCATTAAAATTTCATTTGCTTCATATATTTATAATATGTATGTATTTAAAGTTATATATGTGTAGTGTATCAACTATGTGGTATCCATAACACAAGCCTCGTAGCTTACCATGGAACTAGATTGTGCTGTGTGTTACTGTCCCAACATATTATTATTATTTATTTATTTATTGCATTTAATCAAATTGTAATATGTACGCATTTATTTAATTAATTCGAATGTTTGAGTGAAAGTTAATAAATGAGTTTTTTATCAAGGCCACTTTATTATGTGCCATTTAAAGATTTAAAGTTTATAAAATAACGTTACGAGCTTGAGTCCACGGATCGGAAATTAAAGTAGTTCAGTTGCACTATAATAGATGTTTTACTACTTTTTCGAGTCAAAAGTGAATTTCGTCGTGCAATTCCTATTTTCCCCCACTAGTTTATTTCATTTTTTTCACATAACTTCATACATTGTCATGAAAAAACCGTCTAAAAATTCGAAAATGTCAAACTTTCTTTCTGAAAAGTATTCTGCCTCTATTCCATTCAGAACAATTTTCCAAACTAAAATTCGTGTTACGTTCAAAGAAAAGTATACATACATACGTATATATATATTAGCCATGTATAAATTAGGCTAGAGTTCTATTCCAGTGTATATGTCAGAGGCATATCGTGTAACTTGACTTTTTACAAAGTGAACTGTCTGTTTACGAACACTCGCGTTTGTGAAATTTCGAAGGCGAATTGTAAAAACTTGGGTTGTAAATAAGGGTTTCTGGGTTCAAGAATAAAAAAAAACCTAATTAAAACCTTGCCATTATTTCTGTGCGATCTGTCACTGCTTGAATTTAACATAACGAAAGTAACGCCGTGTATTTTAAATAACAAGGCTATTTTGCGCTAATAGTTAATGATTTTGTAAAAAAGGCGATTCTATTATTTTTTATATATTTTAAGTTATTGTTACATATTTCGGCAAAAAAATTTAAGTTCAGAAGCATTTTGTAATTTGCCCTCAACAAACGCGCAAGCGTTTGCAAACAGACTAGGCCGTTTGTATAATGACGAATTATACAATACGCCTGCGACATATACATTATTATTTTAGTTTTAGTTTGTTATTTCTAAGTTGTTTAATATAGACACAATGTAAGTAGTGTCTGTATCTTAGAATATACTTTGGGATACCGCGTTATCTTATTGTTAGTATTTATAAGTGTTATATTATCTCTAAGTGGTTTAGAACAGTAGTTGGATCAATATAATCGCGTGCCCTTACTAATTATTTCAAACGACGAAGGTTGGCTTGTTTTCAAGCATTAAGCAATTGATTGATAAATGTTTTTTTGCTTGAAAATATGTAGTTTATAGCCGTAAATCTGTTTGGTTGCTTGTAAAGAACAGGAATACTCGAAAAAATTACTTAAATGTACAGGTATTATTAGCAATAAAATTTTTAAAGATCCTAATCTGCGAGTATTTGTTATTATTGTATATAAGTTCTCAGAAATTCAATTATCTTTAAATAAGGAGATGTTGGATTAAAAATTTACAACGCTAACAACAGATTGGACATTTATTAATTTAATTAGTAGCAGTAAAGGACTTTATTAATTTGTTTTGTATTTGAAATGTAAAATTTATACCAATTTGTTCACACCTTGAGCAGAAAATTATATTCTGTACAAAGTTCAAATATATTTTTGCAAAACGGTCATGGAAGTTTTCGACAATAATGCATACGAATTATGCAAGCTAAGTCGTAAGGGCCATTTACTTGCAGTACCAAGGTGAGCTTCACTCAGTGTTTTTGTACAGCGTTTTTTCAGAAAAGACACCTATGTTTATAGACAAACTGACAAAGCAAAACCTTATATACATAGATACAAAATTTCCGAGATAGATGAAATAAATGTATATACAAGAATTGTTCATTTAATATATAAGATTGCGCATTATACTATGCAACTCCGTACATCATTCTGATATACTACATTATAAGTACTCTGTGGAATATTGAAAGAAAACATATTTTTTTATTAAAACCTTTAGCTTCTAAGGTCTAAAGAACGGTCTCAGAATATTCAATTATAAATTAAAAAATTAAAAAAAAGACCTTACGCAAATATATTGTCATTTAACGATTACACTGGCACGCGTGAAACACTTAATCGAGTAATCATGCCAAAATGCCTTACATGATTTTGGAAAAGAGCTGATACTCTTACACTGCTGGACCGATATTAACCGAACATAGCTAAGAACTACCGCAAGGAAACTGGCTTTCAAATGAAAAAAAAACCGCATCGAAATCGGTCTATCCGTTTGAGAGCTACGATGCCATAGACAGACAGACACACATACACAGACATACAGACATCGACGACAAACTTATAACACTCTTCTTTTTGCGTCGGGGGTTAAAAATAACAGTGACACCACAATAAACTTAACTGATTTGAATAACCATTTTTTCTATAAATTTAAATGGGAATATCTTCGAGATACCCCATAACAACAACTCTAAATACGCTCTTATTTTACTTACTTCGAACTATATGTATCCACCGCATTTCGTATGGGAGGCGTACCGTTCTCTTGCTCCATAGCTGTTTAATTATATATTTGCAGACAGATTCGTTTTGTTTCACCTGTAGCCGTACATTGCCTCAAGGCTTACCTGAAACAAATTAGGAATATTATCCATTAAAGTGAAATAATAAGACGCTACTGATCGAATTTTGATTACTCAATCTTATAGTAAGCTATCTGTGTAGGCTAAATTATAGGTAAAACAGCTGGTTTACTTTTGAAACTGTTTCGAATTCGATTTTGTTTTCGATTCGAATTCACTTAAGATTCGAACTCGATCTGGCTGCCTTCCGAACGAAATTGAAACAAAATCGAAATCGACTTACGTTCGAGTGTTATCAGCACTATTAACAATGGGCTCAAACACAAAGAGACTAATTTTCAAGCTAGAATTCTACACCCAAAATGCCAACATCCCACACAAAGAAGACCTGAGAGCGTACCACCAAGTTGTAGCATCACTGCTCTTTGCTTTAGCTCCAAAAAGTAGCTGTGATAGCTCTACTAGCCTGAATTATATAATTCCATAAAAATCCTTGATTTTCAAATTTGAACACGAGATAACAACTTTAAAAGATTTTTAAAACAAAACAAACACTAATAATAAATTTAAAACTCATGAAAAGGCACGGACAAAAGCCTGTGTTTTAAAAAGCTCAAAATATATTTTTATATATAAAACAGTCACTAGAGCTGATAATAGTACAACTGTGTTATTATTTGCTACTTTTTCTATTATATATTCTCCAATCTCCATTATTTATATACTTTATTCATATTCTTTCATTCATTAATTTATTCATTAATAGTATTTTAATATTCATGGTCACTGACAATATTATTACGAGTATGATGTAAATCGGGATATTTATCACGTTTTTCACTCACTTTTGAGAGTACTCGATATTTCGGCACTGTTAAGATGGCCATGTGACCATGGCGATTGTAACAGTACCAAAATATCGGGATTTTATTAAATGTAAGTAAAAAACATGGTTACAATATATAATTTTACATAATAATAATATTTATTATGATTATATTTAATATGTACAATTCAAGTCTCTTATTAATAGCTTCAAAGCGTGCCAGTTGAGCACAGATTACTTCCCCAATGACACGTAGAAAATTAATTTAATATGTGGCAACAAATGTAATAATTTTAAATTACTAACAATTAAATCCTTGAGTTTTTATTGAAAAAAATATATAATATGTACGCTTAAAAAATGATATAAAAAAAGGTATATAGCCTGTATAAAAAATGTAATACCCTAGTTATGAACCCAAGCGGAACCAGAGTGAGTCGCTAGTGCATTATAAAGACACTAGCGACTCACCCTCGCTTCGCTCGGGTTCGTCTCTACGTAAGTTTTAAATTAAAATGGATATAGTATGTTATCCTTAAGAGATAGACATATTCCATCGCGGAGTTTTCTATAGACCTATATAAGATACACAATTCCACCATACATTATTTTGTTATATCTCAAAGGGTTTAGGCAGCGTTTTCGTTGAAAGCTCCCAGACGTCTTATTTTTTCCGACACCTCCAACAAATATCGTTATACTTTAGCCAATGTATACAAAAACTTAACAAATTATATACTAAAACCTTCTTCTTGAATCACTCTATCTATTAAAAGAAACCGCATCAAAATCCGTTGCGTAGTTTTAAAGATTTAAGCATACATAGAGATATAGGGACGGAGAAAGCGACTTTGTTTTATACTACATATGTAGTGATACTTTTACGTACATCTTCCTTTTTTAAAGTCATCTAAATATAATATACATATTCGACGAACTATTATTATAGATAAGCGTTAGTTCCATACTATAAACATCACGTTTTATAGACAGTAAAAATAGAAAAACCTTAATGGATAATTATCTTATATACTTTAAAATTTAAACAATAGAACAATGCATCTTAATAATAAATTTTATTGTTATTTTAAGAATTTAAAATGGAAAATAAATGTTATTTCCATATAAATTTATGTTTGTTATGATTTTACTTCGAAAACCTTACCTGTACTTTCAATTAGCTAACGCGTCAAAATCAAAGAAAATTGATTTACCATTAATGATTTCTTTAAAGGATACAAACTGAGAATACGAATTTAAAACGTTATAGACTGAGAGCTTAAAGCCACCAGATCTACGTAATTTTAGTAAAGCTAATATTTTGAAGATTAATACTCTAATATGCAGTTAAAACGGTATGCTTGCTAGTTTGAAAGCGGCGCTAATTTACAGGTAACAGGTACATAAACATTTTATTCATCTATGTTAAAGCAGAAAATCTGTTTTTCACATATGAATAAAACCAATATTCATTATTGCCAGATACTTTTCGTGGGCGTTACCTCCCACCAGACACGTGTAGAGGTAAATTAAGTTATTTTTGGAAGCCTAAATTATTATTAAAGCATCATTATTAAAATTTACTTTGTGATCAGTTTTTACTAGCGATTTGTCCAGACTTCGCTTGGGTAAGTTTCTAGGTGCTTTTGTATTTCCAATGCTATAATATAGTATGTAACAAATGAATGGGATATGGAAAAAAGTACCTTAAATATTAAAGTTGTCAAATTTTAATCAAAGGAAATATTTCTTTATTAAAAAAAATAATAATAACTGCATTTTTATAGTATATATTTTTACCTATATGTTGACCCGGATAACCAGCTATCATCATATCAAATTTGATCAAAATCCCTCCAGTAGTTTTTCCGTTATGCGGTCACAGATAGACAGACAGACAAAAAAATCTAAAAACTATAAATTCGGCCTCTGTATCGATAATAATAACTATTTCAATAAGATTCGGCTTAGTCACAATTTTACTATGTATCGATGTGCTAATCTGCGGTGTAAACTATATTACTGTAAAGTTTCATCAAAATTCATTATGTAGTTTAGCGTAAAAAATAACTAACAAAACCATCCATCCATCTTCAATCAAACTGTAGCGTTTACAATATCATAGGATAGTATGATGACCGTATTTGGAGATTATTGTTATACAAAGCGAAAACGTTTCATAGCGTCCCATTAAAACGATAAGAGCTCTCGATTTTAGTGGGATTAGTTAGCTGATAAACTGTACAAACGAGTTTATCAATCAATTTCACTACAATTTCTACATTCGCTAACCACTACTACTAACAATATACTACCTTTTTATCTTTATTAGACAAGGGAATACATCTGAAAGAGGTTTAAATAAATATAATATGTATATCTGTATATTTTATACTAATATTATAAATGTGAAAGTTTGTAAGTATGTATGGATGTTTGTTACTTTATCACGCCAGAACGGCTGAACGGATCTGAATGAAATTTGGCACAGAGATAGGTTATAGTATGAACTAACGCATAGGCTTTATCCCGGAAAAATATACGGTTCCCGAGGGATAGATATATTTTTGTTTTTCTAAAGGCCAACCAGAGTGAAGCGAGGGTGAGCCGCTACTATTACGTAAATTACATACAGTAAATACCCAATTTAAAATATTCAAACAGTGATAGCAATTTTATTATCAAAACCATAAAATATCTAACGGCAGACATGATAGTAAAATAAAAACATGTTAGAATTTACTGCGGTATTTAACAAAGTGGTTTTACATAATATTTTTTAAACAAAACTATCTGTGTCTATCCACAATTTTAAAAAATGATTTCAAAAATTCAATAATGGCACCAAAGTACCGTACAATGTTTGTTGATTTTAATTCTAAACATTTAAAAAAAAGAGAATAATTAAATATGGCAATATTATTTATGTAATTTTAGCTGTTGTTATAATAATTATTACATTTAAAAAAAAATATTACTACATAGTACTTTGTCTTGCTAACGCGAAAATTTGACATTTTTAAGAAAACAAGAGAGGCCCATGACCGTGGTGTAAAGCATTCGAAACTTCGGAAACAAAAAATTAAATGAAACTGCGACAAAATAGCTTCTATTTCTTGAGATAAATATCGCTTATCCTATTGATACATTAACTGTCTATTACTATTAACTGTATGACTAATATTATTTTTATTAGTCCGGCTATTGATTATACATTAATTATTATTAATTGAGTCGAAACTGTCACCAAATCTTAAATAACATAAAGTAATTATGATATGGTGGGTTCTGGACCTAATACCTAACAAGATGGCTAAGGCGGGAGCTACTCGTACGTTTACATGAGATAGGTTTCTCTTTTATATATGTAGCAATATACTCTATGGTTTCTCTCTCGCCTTAGCCTTCTCAACCTACATATGTACGTTTTTTTAGTCGACCCTGTCACATAATCGAAAATTAAATCTTATAAATAAATAACCTTTTATCCAGATACTATAAATTTAAAGTATAAAAAAAAACAAAATAAAGTAGCCGGACAAATAATTATACATATATTAGTCGTCCAGTAACTGGATTAATAGTCACTTTCAATATATATTTACGAAAATATTCGTTTAAAAATGGCTAAATGCGTTTCTATAAGTTTTCATAAAACACTGTCCTCTTTGAATATCCTATGAGTGGTGTTAGTGCCAATCATGTTTTTAATTAAAAGCAATGATGGGATTTAAAATGGTGGAATGATTTTTTTTAATATTTTCTTTCAGCCATTTTCCAGCGAACTCACTACCATTGAGTATTTATTGAGTGTTAAATAAATTTCTAAAATGCGTTGATATTTTTCAACAAACTATTTCGAATACGTATAATGAAATTCGAGATAATTTTATTTAAGTTTATATCTGTAATTTTTAAATGATTGATGTTTACAGCTATAATAATTTATTTGCTTGATAAGACACTAAATAATCATTTTAAACATTTTATCTTCATTTCGCTTGATAAAATTAATTTGGTTTTTGCCTAAAAGAAAGGAAAATCGTTCGGAAATGGGAAAGTCGTCATCGAATAATATCGCTCTACGCGATATCTTCGCCTTTGCAAATAAACAAGGTAGAACTGATACTTTTGATTAAAATGAAT